CTTCCTCAAAGAGCTTAAGATATCATACTCCATTGACATGTGCATACAAATGTTTATCACCCCATGACTCATAATAGCTAAATCCAGGAAACAGCCTGTACACCCATCAACAGAGATTGGATAAAGATTATGTGGTGTCTATATAGAGAAGCCATATATAGGAGCTTGGGATGCAGTGTAAGAGAGAAGTTTGTCCCGGGAGCCTGTGCACCAAGGGGCTGCTTGCTCCACCACTGCCTCCTGGCTGGACCCGCAAAATAAAGTGGAGTCATCACTCCACCTACCCCTTAAAAGAAAACTTGAAAAAAACACCGGGGGCCAGGGATCTAGCTCAGTAGTTCTGCTGCCTGCCTTGAAAGCACAAGGACTCAAGTTTGATCCCTGGTATCAAAAAACAAAACAAAACAAAAAAAAAAAACAAATCTGCTATAAAGGAAGACAGATTTGGGACATTTGTAGGAAAATGGATGCACCTGGAAAATATATTATTGAGTGAAATAAACTAGACACACAAGATTAAATATCATATGGTATCTCAAATTTGAGTGAGGCAAAGTATAAACAAAAAGAATAATAAAGATGGATAGAAAGGGACAAGGAAATGGACCTCCTACAACAGGGTAGTGGTCCAAGGGGAAAAGCACAAAAGGTGAGGAGGAGGAGAAGGGGGAATAAATAGAATAAAGTTATTCCATGTCACCTAATAACCTCAATTAATGTAAACATTATGTGTCATAATTTGAGCTAAGATTAATATTATCAACATAATGAAAAATGGGATATGAGAATTGGAGGAGGAGAGAGGAAGTGGAGAGGAAGGAAGGAGGTGATTTAAAAAAAAAGAAACAATCTCCTTTTAAATGGAAGTGAGAAATTTGAATAAAGTTCAGGATAATATATACATAACAAAACATACATTTTAGGGGCAAAACAATTTTTAGGGGACCACTCATACAGAAGCAGATCAGGTAGACCATTAAACCAGATGGACAAAACTAAAGATAAGAAGAAACTGTTAAAGATGAAACCCTAATTAGGAGAGAACCATGAGATGTCTCATTCCTATGGAGTGAATGAAGACTTCACTTAGAATCTTGAGTTCCTCTTCTTAATCTATAAGGTTCAGGAGAATTCAGAAGAGCTATAAAAAAAGTAAAAACAGACTTTTGTATCTCCTTCCAGTGCTCAAACTTTCAGGAAACCATAGTACTCTATATTATCCGGAGCTAACTCCATGTTTTTTCCCCAAAAATCGGATTACTGTGGGCCTAGTCTATGGTGGGCACCAAGCTCCTATCTTGCAGCAATCAGGACAGATCTTTGTGTTGTGTGTTCTCGCCATCTAGTCTGATAACCTCATACCACATCCTCTACATCCTTGTCACCATCACCAGCCATCCTCATGACACATTTGACCTCCACTCTGTCTATGCCTACAGCACCACCAATCCAACATCTTCCCTGATGATTATCTGCCACATTGCCTCCATGGTTCTCTCCTTTCCCTTTAAATAATATCCTCCTTTTCCCCATTTCACCCAGCCAGCAATGTACATTGTAATGCTATCACATAAAAATGAGTTCAATTGAAATACACTAATTGCTAAAATGGAGGCCAGGAGTAAAGTATTTTATGTTCAGGAAGTCTTTTAGCACAATTCAAATTTATCATATTTCTTTAACCACCCTCAATCTGTCATCTGTAAATATTAAGGCCCTTCTACCTACTTGTTCATATTTTGTTTTCATTGGCTCTACAAATTAATTGTTGTTTTCTTATGTGACATTACCTCCACCTCCTTTTTCAAAGACTACCTAAATTTAGGCCTTCATCTTAGTTCCCCCTCATCCAGCAAAAATTAAATATCACAAGATAAGGATAAGAGTAAAGTGTCCTGTCACACATAGAAATTTAAGAAACCTAGACTATGTAAAACAATTTTGAAAAAGAAGAAGATTGGGAAACTCACACTTCACAATTTTAAAATTGTCTACAGAGTTACAATAATTAATATAATAAGTTTAGATATACAAATTAATAAGATATAATTGAGATTAAAGAAATTAATCTTCACATTTATGATCAATTGATCTTTTTTTCTGGTTCTGGGGATTGAACTCAGGTCATTGTGCTTGCAAGGCAGGTGCTAGAACCACTGAGCTAAATCCCCAGGCCTGGTCAATTGATTTTTAACAAGGATGCCAAGACAAATTTTCAGTGGATGAAAGAACAGTCCTTTCAACAAGTAGTAGTGCTGAGACAACTAAATATCACATTCAGAAAAATGAAGTTTGACCCCTACCTCACACAAAAGTTAGGTCAATATGAATGAAAGACTTAACTATAAAAGCTAAAACTACACAACTCTTAAGAGAAAACATAAGGGCAAATCTTCATAACCTTATGTTTGGCAACGGTTTCTTGTTCCTGACACTAAAGGTATAAGATAGAAGAGAAAAATGGATACATGGATTTCATCTGAAGTAAGACCTTTTATGCTTCAAAGGGCACCATTAAAACATGAAAGACAACATACAGAGTGGGAGGAAATATTTGCAAATCACAAATCTGATAAAAGCACTGGTATCTGGAGTATATAGAGAACTCTTACAATTCAATAAGTCAAAGACAAAAAAAAACCTTACTACACATTAGAAAAAGTAAAGAAGTAACAAAAAATGGAAAAAGAATTTGAATTGAACTTCTCTAAAGAAGATATGCCAATGTCCAGTAAACACACACAAAATGTTCAGCATCATTGGCAACCAGGGTACTGCAAACCAAAATACCACTGATACACCACTTCATAGCCATTATGATGACTAAAATAAAAAATACAACTGTTGGAAAAGATGTGAGGAAACTGGAACCCTCATGGATTGCTTAGGGAACAGGTAGCTCCTCAAAAGGTTAAACAGTGTGATCCTATACCTAGCAATCCCACTCTAACACAGCAGAAATGAAAATAGATGTCCGCACAGAAATAGGTTCATGAACCTTTGTTGCAGCATTGCTTACAAGAGCTGAAAAGTGGGAACAATGAGAACATCCATCAACTAATGAATAGGTGAATAAAACACGGCATATCCACACCCTGGACCATTACTGTGTCACAAAAATAGGGCACTGATGCATGCTACAACATGAATGAATCTTGTGCAAACCGAAAGAAGACAATCACAAAGGGCCAAATTATGATTATATGTATAGGGACCCCCAGAATAAGCAAATCTATACTGAGAAGCTGTCTCCTGAGAAGTAACAAAAGCTGCAGTATTTCTTTCTGACATGATGAAAATGCCCTAAAATTGTGATGGTATTTGCACAGGGAATCTATGTAAAACAGCTGCATTGTGCACTTTAAGCAGGTGAGTTGCACGGTCCGTTAATTATATCTTACTAATACTGCCATGGAAAAATATACTGCTGTTTCATTTTTACTAGCCCAGAGGAAACTGGCAATCATCATAAATTCACAAGTGAGCCTTTCTGATCCTGAGAGCTCAGTCTGAAGCTGCTGATTGTCTGCTGTGGGATAAGGGAGACAGAAGAGTTGGGAAAGAGACAACTTGCTTCCCACTTGTTTACATTGTGTTAGAGGCATTTGTCAGGGCCCCAGTCATCAGGGATTGAAAAATGAGAAATCACAAGGAATACTCCAGCTGGGAAGCCCCACCCCACCTTTTTGCAAGCTCTCATTAATCTATCACCACTTTTGCATCATATGCTATCTAGATGGAGCATTTCCCATCGCTTGAGAATGGATTTGTAAATTCATTCTTCTTTCCAGCGATAAACACGTCCAGTGATGACACATGAGATCTTCTTTCTGGCACCTAGTATCAAGAGCTATTTCTCTGGTTTCTGCTCCTTATATCCCTGGCTCTACCCTAAATGTCTCTGGCTATTATAGAGCTACTTCTATGGTGGGGGGGTCACAAAAGAATGAAGGGCTTAATCTCTTGTCTCTTGGCTTGGGTAGGAAAACACAGCTTTTCTCCCTGCCCTAGAGACATTTCCCTTTAGAACCCAGCCACCATGCTGCAAGAAGCACAGCCCACTTTAGAGGACAGTGCGGGTTCTCCCTTGACAGCCTCTAACTGCCTCCACTGTTGAGTGAGGATGAAGACATCTCCAGATGATTCAGCCCCCAACCAGCTGAGTCCCTCATGCTGAGATCCCCAACATGAGAGTAGGCAGTCCTGTCCGTAGTACCCTGTATAAATCCTTGACCAAAAGAAAAGGTCATTGAGCAGAATTAAATGATTACTCATTGCCACTGCTACATTCCACATAGCTTGCTAACCTGGTAACAATAACTGGAGTAGCCTCTGTTCTCCAAAGTCACATGGGAAGTATGAGGACTACAATATATGTTTGAGAAAATTGGAACCAGCATGAAGCAGTCTGGAGCAAACACAGACTCTGATTCTCTGGAGGACCCAGTTTCTTCCAGGAAGAGAAACTCAGCAGCAAAAGCAATGATGCAAAATACAGGGCTCTATAAATTAGGAGAACATTTAACAGAAGAAGAAAACTGACCCCAGATTGTTACATAGCAGCTTGAGGTGACGGATGGCAGGGAACTTCAGCTTGAGCTTCAGAAGGACAGTAGGGGAGGACTTCTGCATGTTACTAATGATTCTAATTATCAACTGGAATCTGAAGGACAGGACATTGGCTGTGGGATGTTAGAATTCTAGAGTTGGATCCAGCAGTATGTGTTCCTTCTTGAACTAAAAATCTGACTCTTTTCCAGCTCTCTTGTCTCCCTCACCCCACATTGGGTATTAGGGAACACAAGAGCAGATGCAGTTAATGAGCAGCTTCAAAATTTCTCTGATTTTGATCCCCAGCATGTCCACTTCCTCACTGTGAATTCTTAGGCAATCTATTGAACTTCTCTAAAATTGTCTCCACATCTCTACATAGGGATGATAACAGTAGCCACCTTAGATCACGCTTCCAAGAACTGTACAAGTGAACATGTGAAAAGCACCTTAAGTAGTGTGCAGAATACAGTCATTTCTTGCTAAGTCCAAGCTGTTGACCTCATCAGAGATGGAGATTGATAATCCAATCTCTTAAGTGTGTCCCTTCCACTTCCTCTGCTGTCTTCTTGTCCTCCTCCAATTCATCCTCCGCGATGATTCCCAACATCAGGCATCTACAGAAAAGTGCAGAACTAAATTTAAATGCAACCAGTAGCTCCTCATTATCCAGTGCCACAGAGGATACCTCACCAACTTTACAGCCCGTCACCAGTTTCCTCTCTGTGGATGCTGTTCCCTTTCTTCTCGTCACAGCACTGACTTTCCCCCACATACATACCACCCCAGAGAGCCAGCTATGCCCTTTGCCTCCTCTCTCTCTCTCTCTCTCTCTCTCTCTCTCTCTCTCTCTCTCTCCTCTCCTCTCCTCTCCCCTTGCCATTCTTCAGGAAATGCTCTTGGCAAGGCATCCTGGGGTCTTCATGAGACCCCACTGACAGAAAACCTCAGTTCTTAGACTCTGTTCTGCTTCATTCTGAAGCACAACGTGGAAAAAGTGACATAAGCAATCCCACACTGGGGAGATTGTTTTTTGTAAGTGATTTCTAGGTCCTGCTTGAAGAGCAGTTTAATTGAAACAGTTTGCTGCCCATCATAGGGCTGTGCTGACCACTCTGGTGCTTCCACCTCCCAGAAAATGGTGGTAGGGAAAATGCTTGGCCGCAGATTAACAGCCACGCTAATCCCTCTAATTCTCTGGAGCGGAGAAGACAGATAAGGAAAGGAACATATTTCCACAAGATAGATCATCATGAGAAGGAACCATGTAATATTTTAACTATCAGTTCACACCCATCCAGATAACACAAGCATAAAAGAAGAATGTGTGCACATATGTGCAAGCACACACATGTGTGATGTAACCAGGCTTCCAGAGAATGTGCAGATCACAAGCAGTGAAGAAAGACTGCAGATGGAGAAGCTTCCTTCTCCCGATCACCCGCTTGTTCAGGCCTATGGTTGGAGACTGGCGTCTTTCCAGATGAGGCCGTTTCTTTGCAAACTCCTGAGCTGTGGTTGAAAACAGCAGGTCTGAGAAATATTTGTAAAAAATAGCAAGAGAGGCTATTCGTGTAATTCATGGAGGTGATCCTCTAAGGGATCCAGAAGGCTTTCTTACTGGAGCTTAAGCTCTTATCCTAAAGATACTTATTCTCAGAAATGCCTGTTTTCTTGCCTGGTGAGCAACATATATTTAAATATTTTTCAGCTCTAAGACTGGTATTTGCAGATTCTTCCAAGTCCTGAACAACAATCACAGCACCACTTCAGGAGAGAGAAAACAAGTACCTATTGTGAAAATGAAAAGATATCTTTCCCTCCACACAGCTAAGAGAACAGGAGGCTACTCAACTCATGCTTCGCCTACAGCGCCACCTAGCGCTCGGAAGTAGGTACTTTCCTTTAGGAATCAAAATCCATGATCTTTCACCTTAGCTTTGGTAATCAAGAAAAGAGCAGGGGAAAAGAAAGAAGGGAAAGACAAAAGGAAAAAACAGAAACAAAGCTTTTGTATGTAGGGAGGTGGTAGGGATTGAAGACAGGGCAAGGGAGTGAGAAAAATATAAGAACCAACATATATCATGTACAGGTACAAATTTCCAACGATGGTGATCTTAATGTATACCTAAAATGTACCAATAAACTCAATAAATTAGAAAATAAAAGCATAATTCAGCCCTGTACTTGGCACTAGGAGTGTTGTTGTTGTTGTTGTTGCTGCTGTTGTTGTAATAATTGTTGTTTTTCTAGTTAGGAGAACAGATAGAAACAGCAGAGCATAGGAGGGAGGTCAAGATTAAAGGTAATTCAGTGTGAAAATAATTATTGAGAACCTAGTATGTGGCTAAAATTGTAAGTTGATGTTAATATAGTGCTTAAGAAGGCATCGTTATTTTGCCTTCAAAGATCTAACTTCAAAACAGACACATGAAATCCCAGCACTTTGGGAAGCTGAGGCAAAACCACATGTTGAAGACCAGCCTGGGCAACTCAGCAACTTAGTGAGATCCTGTCTCAAAATAAAATATATATGTATAAAAGGGCTAGGAATGGGAGATTGTTGTTAACTATAAACTCAATGAACTCAAGTGAGAAAAGAATGGATGGGGCCTGTGTTGCAGTGTCCCTGGTCCTAAAGATTAAGATAAAAGCTGGACTTAGAGATCACCTCAGAGATCCTGGGGCATTGCAGGCTTTGGCTGATGGTTTCCCCAGCATGCAAGTCACCTGCTCCAAACAAGACGTCAGTTTTCCTTTGAGAACTATTATTCCCTGTTTTCAGGAAAAAGTTTGAGCAGAATGATTTTGAACCTCAGCTCTAGGGGTGGCCTTGACTGACCCAGGCAGTCAGCAGGTGACCTTAGTCCAGAAGCTCTGGTGTCTGGAGAGCTCTTGCCTCCGTTCAGACCAGCAAGGCAGGAGGATACATGTTTGAAATTTCAGGGAAAGAAAAAAAAAGACGTTGCTATTCCTGTCCCATGGTTGAGCTTTAGACTATTGCTGCCATAATTTAAAGGGTTCACAACTGCAGGTGGCATGTGGAAGTCAAAGCAACATACCAGCAAAGCAGGAGAGGAGCACTGCTGTAATGACATCATGAAGCTCTGTATTAATCCACGCCTGATGCAAAATTTCCACCCTTCCTATCCCTTCATGGATTAAACTAGTTTTATGCATGTTTACTGAAACATGACAAATAATAAAAGCACATATAAAACAAAACAAACCAGCATCTTCCATATTCCTTCTTATCCCACCCTCTGAAATATCAAATATTAACAGGCGGGTTTTGTAATGAGCTGAACTGCATCCTTCCAAAATTCATACATGAAAGTCCCACCTGCTGGTACCTCAGGGTGTGACTGAATTTGGAGGTAAGGTTTTAATATGAGGTCACTGGGGTAAGGCCCTCATCCAAAACTGATGTCCTCACAATGAGAAGAGACCAGGACACAAACACAGAAGAGGGACACTGTGAAGATATGGGAAGATGGCCATTACAAGCCAAAGAGAAAGGTTCCGGAAGAAATTAAGCCACTATACCTCAATCTTGGACTTTTAGCTTCTAGAACTGTGAAAAAATGAATTTCCGTAGTTTAAGCCACTGCTATGTTCTGAATGTTTATATTCTCCCAAAGTTTATCCTTTGACACGTCATCTCCAGTATGATGACATGTGAGAGAGGGTTGGGGCTTTTGGGAAGCGATTGGGTTTGGATGGGTATTCTGAGAATGGAGTTCCCAGTATGACATTAAGGTCCTTATCAAGGAGAAAAATGTCCTGAAATACCTCTACTATATCTTTTTCTTCCTCCCTCTCTCTTTCCCCCTCTCCCCTCCCCTCCCTCTGTTCCTCCCCCTCATCATGTAAGAATGCAGGCTGAAGAAGGCTCTCTGCCAACCAGGAAGCAGAATAGGAAGTTGACCGTGCAGTCGCCCTGGTCTGGGACTGCCAGTCTCCAGAATTCTGAGAAATGCATTTCTGTTATTCCAGCCACCCAGTCGGTGGTGCTTTTGCTACGGCAGCCCTGGCAAACAGTGTAGACTTTTAACTGTTTACCCCTTTCACCTTGCTTTCACAGGCACCTACAGCACGTCTACACATAGAGCTATTTCTTTTCATCAAAATAGAGGTATACTGTATTCATAGTTCTGGTTAGAAAAGGGGATGTCGCTATGAAAAGTTTTCTCATTTCTCAGTGTATCTACATGCATATCAGTGCTGATTAATCTTGGTTGTCAGCTTGACAGGGCTAAGAGATTTCTGAAGATGTGATCAGACTGGGAGAGCACTCATATTCTGGTAGCTGAATGAGCTATAAAAAGTGGAAGGCTAGGCAGAGAGAGCATAGCATGGGGCATGGCCTTGCGGACTAAATCTGGTCCCCAACCCTTTGCTCCCTGGCTCTTCCCTGCTGTCTACTTCAAGGATAAGCAGCTTTCCTTCATCATACCCTTTTGCATTGATGTTTTTCCTTGGCAGCAGCCAAACATGGACTAAAACCTCTGATATTGTCAATCAAGATTAAGGTCTCCTTTGCGGGTGCCAAGTATTTTGTTCTAACAATGGAAAGCTGACTACTGTAATATCATTTTATGTAAAGGCCATCAAATATATGCTGGTTTAGAGAGGAGTTGATTTGGTTTTTTGGTGGTGAGTGGATGGAGTATTTTTTAATCTTTCATTGCTGCTGTTGTTTTCTTTGGGGAGTTCTATTTCCTCTTCCTTTACTTTTGTCCTCAGCCTTTTTTCATCCTATTCTTGTGCCTCATATCCAAAATTGGAAACAAATAATGGTTCCCAGTGAATGGCATCATTCCCATGAACACTGACAGCCTTGGAAATAGATGCTGCTGATAGCTAGGAGCAAAAGAAAGACTCATGGTGGATGCCTTTGATCTTCTCTTTAACTCCTTCTGCCCCTCAACTGAATTCAGATGATAGTATTGGTGTTCTGTAACTATTATAGCAATATTTATAAACAACTCTAGTGAACTAATAGCAATCAATCAGCATTATTTTTATGCAAATAAATATGGTCTGACTCATTTGACAGCAAAATCATAGACCCAAAGTTTTGTGCCCTTATAAATCAATAAAATATTAAGAATAACACAAGCAGTTCTCATTTATTTCCCCTTTTAAGAGTTAAGTCATTAAACCAGCTTTGCTGAACTTTTCTCAAAAAAACTGTCATTCAAGCAAAGACAAAATGAGTCAGAGAGAACACAAATGCTGTTAAGAAAACACTGACACAGCAGGGCCCCAGACACATGACATTCAGAGAAAAGTCCATGGCTACTGAGCACACACCGATTTATGCCCCCATCAGGACATCCTCAGTGAGTGTGCATCCTACCAAGGTGATACCTTTCCCTGAACCTCTTATCCCACCTCTCTCTGAATGTGCTCAAGATGCAAAGCATGCTAGAACTATGAAGTCCTTAAGAAATGGTGAATTTTACAAATGGGAGAAAAGGGCAAATTCTTCAAGAAATCACATAAGCAAATGATACTTGCAGGCTGTTTATATAACCTATAAACAGATGAAGAAGGCTAGTGTTTGACCTTACAAGTAAGTAATAAATATCAAAATATAATTAAATATGTTAGGCTGATGAATAACC